AAAAAAAAAAATTTATAAAAAAAAAAAAAAAAAAAAAAAAAAAAAAATTTAATAAAATTATTTTTATTTCTTTATAAAAATTATATTTTTAAACGAATATCATTATAAATGAAACGGTTATTTTGTAAAATTTTCATTTTAATAGAAATGATTATGTAGAATGAAGTTATTTGAATATTATATATCTTCTTCATTTTGTCCATTTAAGATTTTTATTAAAATATTTTAAATTCGAATTTAGCTATTAAAGGTAAATGATCTGATGGTCTTATTGGACTAGGTAAAGCACAGTTTGAGAGTTGATATAATTGAGCTTCCTGCATTAGCTGGTTTTCGTCAGCTATATTTACTGTTGATATAATATTTAAATTTTCATCATTATAAAAAATATAATCTAAACATCCAATAAAATTACCAGTATAATTAGTAAATAATGGTTCAAACACCTCTAAATTATTATAATCATCTGGATTTAATTTTTGCGATAAGAGTTTTGATATAGCATAGGCTGATTTCAGATTTAAATTATGCCCTAATTGAAGATCTGTTAGTAAGCTATATTTATCTGAATTAAAATCTTCATGATTTCTGCTACATGTTTTTTTATAAATTAATTGATAAACTGCACTTGATGGAGTACTATTAAAATCTCCACATATTATTAAACTGGGAATTGTTTCATATTTTTTAATAAAATTTATTTTTAAATATTCAATGACTTTAACAAGAATCTGTGCTTGCCATATTTTTACATAATTTGCTTCTGGATTAGCAACTATATGTGTATTGGCAACAATTATTAATTTTTTATTCTGTTTTTCTTCTTGTTTATCATACATTTTAGAATATTGTTGAATATATTCTAATAATAATACTAATGCTACATTATCTTTTAAAAGTCTTTTAACTATAGATGGATTTTTTTGTATTTCTTTTGGTAGTGTTAGAACTGATGCTTCTTTAATAAGTTTGCTAAATTCAAGAGCATAAGTTTCAACAAATTTTAGTTTTTTTTTATTATAAAAAATTGCGCATCCATCTATAGTATACTTTCCTCCTCTTCTTTTTCCTGATGGGGATGTAAATATTTCTTTTGTTTTCTGTTTATAAACACCTTCATAACCAAATTCACCTAGTGATGGTTTGAAGAAATCTAAAAAGTGTTCATTTTGAATTTCCTAAAAATTAAAAAAAAAAAATTGTTAGTATAAACATAAAATATATTTAAAGTATTAATAAAAATATATTTTAAGGATTTTTAATTTACCTGAAGACAAACAATATCTGGATTATTGTTTAAGATTTCTTGAATAATTTTTGTTTTTCTATATGACCAAGCTAACATGTATGGATCACAATGAGGAAAGGCTTCTATAGTTCCATATATTTCTGCTAAGACATTCCATGTCATTATAGTAAATTGATTGTGAGGATTTGATAAATTAGAATTTTTAAAACATGTTATATTATAATTAGGAAATATAGTTAAATTTGGTATACAACATCCCGTAATTATTTTATGATAAATATTAGGGTCTTTAATACTATTCCATATTTCATCATCTAAAACATAAATTTTTTTCTTCCTTTTTTTTTTTTTTTTTTTTAATAAAGTCTTTTTTTCTACTATATTTAGATTGCTTGTTGTCTCATCACTAATTGCTTTTATTTTGTTTGTGCTTGAATTATGATTCATAATTGGAAAATGTGTATTCTCGTTATTTAATGGATTGTTGAATATATTTTTTGGTTCCACATTTAAAGCATCTATTTTATTATTTATATTTCTTACTTCATTGATTTCATTGTTTAACTTATCATTCATATTATTTGAAATTTGGGTTAAATTGTTTGAAGGTATATTTATATCTTTATTTGAATAGTTAAATTCATTGTACAATTTCTGAGATTGTATATTTATATTGTTTAAAAAATTCATATCATTTTTTATATTGTTTTCATTCTGATAATTTAAATTATTCATATATTTGTTATTAATATAATTATTGTTGGACGCAATGAAGGTATTATTATTTACAACACTATTATTATTGATATCAAAATTTACGTTGTCTAAATTAGTATATGTAACTTCGAATCCATCTCCTCTTTTATCAACTAATTTCTTTAAATTATTTGTATTATGTCTATAATTATTCCTTGAATAATCTACATTTTCAGAAAAATACCTTCCATTGCAGTTTTTCATATCATTTGACTGTACATTATTAATATTGTTGCATAAATTAAAAGTATTATTTAAGATAATATAATTTGTATCATTAATAGGAAAACTTAAATTATTAGCATTATTATCAATATCAAAAATATTATAAAAACTATTATTAGAGTTGTTTAAATCAGAGCTGTTTATGTTGTTGTTACCATTATTACAATTGTTATATATATGGGAACTATTGTTATATTTACTCAAATGCGTATTATTATGAGTATCATATTGAATATCATTGTAATTATTTAAAAGAATATTATTAGAAGTATTTTGTTGAACATCCACATATCTAACTGATGAAATTTTATTTTGGTTATTTTGTGCAATATCATCATCAATAGATGATGCATTATAATCACTATTTTCATTCGATTCATTATTATTAATGGATGAACTAAAATCATCAGATGATACACTATTTTTATCAAGCAACATTGTTTCTAGCATTAATTGATGACCTATGTCCTTTTTACATGGTATATAATTTCTTTCATTATGAATTGTTTCCCATACTTCTTTATCTGGTGCATTTAGTAATCCAGATCGAATTAAAGAATTATAATGCTTTTCATCAAATTCAATATTTTTTTCATAATTATCCCAATCAAATGGAGAGCAAGGTACTCCATATGTGTGCAAATTGGGATGTGAAGGAATATTAAAAGATCCATTACTTCTGTAATATTTATGTAAATGGTTGAAACCTTTCATAAAACATTCATAAGAACAAAAACATCTAAATGTTACAGTACATTGTAAACATGCAATTTTCTGTGGATGAAAAAAACATACAGTTCTAGGTGGTCCTCTACTCCACCTGTAAAAAATGTTTACTGTTTTTCCAATAGGATTGTTTTCATTATCTTCATCATCATCATATAAATGCCCAAATTTGTCTTTTATTATTACAACTGGATGTAACTCACAACTTTCTACAGGTGTAATTGGCTCTTTATTTTTTGTAGGTCCCCATATTAGTTCACATCTTATTATTTCAGCTAAATAATCTTTTTTCTTTTTTTCTAAAGGATTGTTTTTACTATTATTTAATTTCAATTTTTTAAGATCATATTTATTCTCTACGATGATTTTCTTTGAATCAGTCTTTTCTATTAATTTCGTTAACTCATTTTTATCATTATTATTAGCATTATCATAAAATGAAGTTATATTATCATTTTTATCTAAAATACTTAAATTATTTTCTTTTAATGGAGTTATTTCACATTTGTATTTATTTCCTACTGTTTCTCCATTTTTGTTCCTCTTTATGTTATTAATATTACTTAAAACATTTTCCATATTATTAAAACTATTATTTGTATCATTTACTAATGTATTATTTTTGTAATTACTCATAGTATTATTATTTACATTGTTAAAAATCATATTAGTTTTACTATTACTCAATATGTTGTTTAATAAGTCTGATGAATTATTAAAATTATTAGAAAAATTATCTGTGTTATTCAATGGAAGTGTGCTTCTATTGTAGTTTAAAGGATTATTTACACCGTTATTTATAAAACTACGTGGAATACTATTTAAATAACTATTTGAAAAATTACCAATGCTTTTAGTAGAAAATTTATTGTTATTTTGATTCGAAAAATTATCTAAGCTTTGATTTGAAAAATTATTCACACTACTAACTTTTTCATTATATATTCTATTGCTTGAATTATATATTAAAGTATTATTCATATAATTGTGAGTATTCATAATATTATTAATGTGATTATTACTATTATTTAAAACATTAGTAACATTTGCACTCCTTTTATTATTTAAAATATTATTTATATTATTATAATCATTATTATTATTATTTAAAATGTTAATATTATCTCCATTTAAAATAATATTCATATTATTATTACTTAACATATTATTTATATTACTATAATTTCTATTATTTAAAATATTATTTTCATCGTTTAAAATATTATTTATATTATTAATATTCTTACTAATTAAAATATTTTTATTAGTATTATTATTCTTTAAAATGTTAATATGACTATTTTTATTAGAATCTTCATCATTAAAATTAATTTTACTAAACTCTTGTAAATTATTATTATTTATAAATTTATTATGAATACTGTCGTTAATTATACTATTATTATTAGTAGTAGTAATATCACTACTTTTATTATAATTATCTTCATTCATATGGTTATTTTTATTGGTTAAATTAATTGGGATATTAATATTTCTTTGATTACTAACTATGTTATTCCTTGAAATAAAATTTTCTTTAAAAACATTTTTATACTCTTTTTTGTTATTAGTAATTTTATTTATATAACTACTATTTGCATCATCACCATCTTCATCAAAAATATTATCAAGGTTATGCTTATCAAATGTATTACCTAATTCATTAAAATTGTAGTTTTCATTATCTTGCATTTTTGATAAACTTTTATTTAAGTGTGACTTACTCATAATATGGTTATTATTTATTTTCAATATATCACTTCTTAATTCTTTATTATTATAACTATAATTTTTAATGTTTTTTGTTTCTTTTAAATATTTATTGTCACAATGAAGTTCAATATTATTTCTACTTAAATATGATTTTATATATTCATTTGAATTCTCATTATCATTTTTACTATTATAATTATAATTATTTTTTTCTGAAGAAATGGTTGAATTATCATTGTTTCCGTTTTTCATGCTGTTTTCTAATTGATTATTTTTTTTTTTTTTAAGATCAAAATCTTTTTCTGTAAAAGAGTTCAAATAATTTACACAAATATCAGTTTTATTATTTGTTTTTTCTTGTATAACATCATTTTTATTATTTTTTTTGTCTTGTATAATATCATTTTTCCTATTTTTTGACTTTTTCGATTTTGTAGCATTTTTATCTCCAACATTATCAATGTCTTCTTTATTTTTACTGTGGTCTTTATCTTCAGTTATTTCACTATCTTTGACTTTGTTCTTTTCAACAATTTTTTCTTTATCCTTTTCTTTATTCTTTAATTTATCTTTATTTTTATCTTTATTTTTCTTTTTCCCTTTTTCCTTTTTTTTTTCCTTTTCCTTATCCTTATCCTTTTCTTTTTTTTTTTCTTTTTCTTCTTTATTTTTTTCCTTTTTCATTTCTCTTTCTTTTTCTTCTTTATTTTTTTCTTTTTTCATTTCTCTTTCTTTTTCTTCTTTATTTTTTTCTTTTTTCATTTCTTTTTCTTTTTCTTCATATTGCTGTTGTTGCTGCTCTTCTTGACTTTCTTTCTTTTCATCTTCTTCTATATCTTTTTTTTTTTTTATATTTTCTTCAATTCTTAAATTTTCTTTTAATAGTTTATTTAATTCTAAAATATTACTTTTTCTGATTTTTATATCTTTTGATATATTGTTTTTGTTATCCTCTTTTACACTTTTTTTATTTTTATTAAATTTATTTTTATATTGAATATTTCTGTTTATATCTTTTATGTTTTCATTTTTTTTATCTTCGATTTTAACTTTTATAACTTTATTTGCTTTTTTAAAATCCTTATTTTCTACACCTTTTTCGCCAATAACATTATTCACATTTTCTATGTTTGTTTCATTATGAATGTCAGTGTTATAATATTTTTTGTTAACTGGGTAATTTTTTTCTAAATCATTTAAAGAATCAATTATATAATTGTTCATATTTTCATTTTTTATTTTAAAACAACTTTTATACGTTTCTATATCTTTATTGTTTTCCATAGTTTTTTTATTTTTTTTTTCGTCATTTTTGTTAAATCTTATAGCTTCATATTTGTAGCTGGGTTGACTTTCATTACTTTTATTTTTCTTATAAAAAGGAAAATTTCCTTTAGTAAAATTATCCATTTTTTAAAATAAATATAAATATGTTACAAAATTTAAAACCTTTTTATAAAAGAATAATGTATGGTTTTCTTTTAATTTTAATTTTAAAATTAAAAAAAAAAAAAATAATTTCATCATTTGATTAACATATTAAATTCTGGTTTTGTGGTTTATTTCAATAGCCTTGATAATAAAAATATATAGAAACATTACAGTTTACATTTTTCGTCAATATTTTTTCAATTTATGTTGATAGAAATAAATATAATAAATTCTATTCCTTTAATTTTTTTTTTAAAAACAGCATAATTATATTAAAAATATTGAAACAAAGATAATTGTATAATTAAAAAAATAAAATAAAATAAAAATAAATGTATAAGATTTAAAAATAAAAATTTTATATATCAATTAATAAAAATCAGTGAATAAGTTCTTGTAAAAGAAAAAAAAAAAATTTTAAATTTATTGATAATTATAAAATTTTTTTAGTATCACCTTTTTTTTTTATTTGATGCACATAATTTTACATTAATAATTTCTCTATAGTTTTTTTTTTTTTTATGTTTTTTTTCTTTTTTTTTTTTTATATATATATATATATTATTGTATGAACATAAATCTGTCAATATTTTATAAAATGAAAAACTTTGAGTGAATAATAATTTTTAAAATTAATAAAATATGTTGTTTTTTGATTTTTTTATGAAAATAAATATACACATAATTTATTAAAACTGTAAAAAAAAAAAAAAAAAATTAAAAATAAAAACAAAAGTTTATTCTTGTTTTTTTTTTTATATCTGTTTAATGTTATTTTTTTTTTTAAAAGTAAAATTTATAGAAATATACGTTTTGTGTATGTAGGTAAAAAATGTAGTGTATTATCATTTTGATTTCAATTATATACATACATAATAACACAGATATTTTTTATAAAATATTAGTAAAAAATCCTTTCAATATATTATTTATAACAAAAGTAAAATATATACAAATTAAAGTTATACAAATTGATTTTGTTTTCATTTATATTAATATTGAAATATAATGAAAAAAAAAAAAAAAATAAAATAAAATAAAAATTAAGAATTTTCCTTTATTACATTTTAAAAAACATATTATTATAGAAGTATCATTAACATTTTTTTTTTTAAAAAACACATTTCAAGAAAAATATTTTACTTTATTTAAATCACATTATAATTTTAAAATAAAATTACATTATATAGTTACTTATTTCTTTTTTGTGTTTATTTTCATAAGTTGGTTGAAATATTTCTTTTTTTTATTAGTTTTGTTTTAAAAAATTTATTTGGTTTAAAAATCACCGAATTTTCTTATTAAATAAATACTTTATTAATTAATTACTTTTATAAAAGTAGATTTTTTTTCAAGTTTTTTTTTTTTTTTTTTTATTTTAGACATTATAAGAACAGTATATTATTATTTCATATTAATAGCTAAATGAAAGAAAAATATAACCAAAAAAAAAATTTGGTAAATTTTTTTTCATAATTTTAATGATAAATTTATTTTACTATTTTTAAAAAGATAATACTTTATATGTTTTTATCTTTTGTTATAAATTCTTTATATATTACATCCTTCATAAAAACTTAAAGTGTGCCCTTTTTTTTATATACTATATCTGACCTTTATTATTTAGGTAATATTTAGTTAAAAGATATAACGTTACAAATTATCTGTGTGTAATTTTTATTCTATAATTAAGTTTGAAATATAATTTTTACATTTTTCATTAAATAAAAATTTATGAAAAAAAAAAATAACATTACATATTTAAAAGTATTCCTTTATTTTTTATTTTTATTTTTTTATTTTTTTTTTTTTTTTTGTTGGATTAATAAAAAGATATTTTTTCGTATAAAGAATTTACGAATCCGAAATTTTTAAGTTTCTTTCATTTCCTTTTTTTTAATAATTACTTTTAAGTTTATTAATAAATATATGACCTTTGATTGATTAATTTTGCCTAACTCAAAAAAAAAGAAGTTTCATAAAATGTTCGACATTTTTAATAAAGTAGTTTAGTTCATGAAAATAAATTTTATAAAAAAAAATTATTAATTCATTTTTATGCAATAATAGCTTGTATAATTTTTAAATTTTAAATTTAAGTTTAATAAGTACTCTTTTGCATTTAATATTTGAATCTAAAAATATTTTATATGTCATAATTATTTTTATATATTAAATTTTTGAAATAATTGAATGCGTTAAAAAAAATAAATTTTATTTTTTATAAAAGTATAATTACATTATAAATATAATACCTTAAAATTAAATTATTTTTTTATAAAAGAATAAATTTGAAACCCATCTTATATATTAACTTATAAAGTTTATATATTTTTTTCCTTTTTTTTTTTTCTTTTTTTTTTTTTGTTTATTTCAATTTTTAGTTTTATTTTATTTTTATTTTATTTTTATTTTATTTTTTTTTCTTTAATAATTTACTTATAATTTCATTTTTTTAAAATAAGAAATTATGATCATTCATATACAAAATTTAATTATAAATTTTAAACCAGACTAAAAATAACTATATTCAAATGGAAAAAACTAATTTAAAAGGATATGAAGTAATTGATATAGAAGGCAGAAGAGAAGAGCTAATCAATATAAAAAAAAATTTTTTAAGTGAAGAAGAAGATGATTATATAAAAGATAGTAAAAGATATCTATATGATGAATTATCATACATAAATAGAATAAATACATTTAAACCATGGATAAAAAAACCCGTGCATCTATGTTCCATTATTTTGGCTAGAAATGGATATATATGTGAAAATGAATTTACTATAAAATGTGAAATGTGCAATTGTAAATATATTTATGAAAAAGACAAATATTCTATGTATACAAAAATTAATGATTTATGTTTGTTGCATCTTGACAACTGTCCATGGAAAAATAATCTTATGAGTCTATCAATTTTTCATCTTGATGAAAAATCATTAAGAAGAGAAGAATTGATAAAAGAATATGAAAATAATGTGTTAATGTTAAAAAATGCTTTATATGAAATACCATTAATAAATATTAAAAAAACAATTAAAGATTTGATTATAATCATAAAAAAGCATTTAAAAAATCATTTTTCAAAAAAAAAATATTTAATTTTTAATTGGTATGTAAATTTTTTTAAAAATCAGTTTACTCAAATATTTTTGAATAACAAGAATGTTATAGATAAAGGAATAGAAAAAATTAAAGAATATTATAAAGAATATGAAAAATATATTGTTGATTTGAATTATATAAATAATTTAAATTTTAATATATCAGATGAATCTAATTATATTAATATATTATGCGATGACATATCATTATTAAAAGATGAAAAAGAAGACATAAATATGTATTTTAAAATCGTTGACAAAATGAAGAATTATGAATATGAAAATATCAATATTTATAAAATAATTTCCCTATGCGGATGGTCCTATAAAGGGGATTCTGTAGATAATAATAATAACTTTACACAAGTTTTATATTGTAAATATTGCTATAGAGAAATTAAAATTTGCAATTATTCCACTTTTTCCATAAGAGATGATAAACTTTTTTTATTTAAAGAATTAAATTTACTTGTAACAAAAGATATAATGGATGATTTGATTAACAAAAAAAAACAATTAGAAAAAGTAAGAAACTCAAATAGCTGTGTTAATAGTGATCCAGTAAATATTCTTGAAAAATTATATAACCTTTTAAATAAAACAAAAAATTGTAATAAAAACAACGATAATGATAATAATATTTTAAAAAATAAAGGAAGCTTTTGTGAAGAAACAAAAAATGAAGTAGAAAAAAAAAGGCTTAATAATATAATAGATGAAGATGATTATTCTTTTAATTGGAAAAAAAAAAATTTAATTTTAACAAAAAAAATTAATAATATTTTCAAAGATAAAAGTGATAATACTTTATTTTCTAAAAATAATAAAAAACATTTTTTTACAAATAGAAATGAAGATTTATTTTCAAAAAAAAATTCGGATAATAAAGAAATTTCTTTAAAAAATTCTATAAGTAAAATTTTTATAGAAATAAGTGAATATATAAAAAAAGAAGAATTTTTTATTAAAACCTTATATGATTATTATGTTTTAACAGATTCACAATTTTTTAATTTTAATGAAAACAATATGGATCAAAAAACAAATGGAAGTTTTTACAATATTCGGTTATTTGATATAATTGAAAATCATAGAGCATATTGTCCATACATGACAGAAGATTTGTATTCTTTTTCTAAAATAACAAAACTTTTTTTTGAGTTACTTATATCTGAATTTCAAAGAAAATATGTATTCAAATAAAAATACGAAAAAATATATATATATATATATATATAGGCAATATTTGAAAAAAAATATAATTCATAATAAAAAAACATGTTTAACAAAAACTTTTAATAAAAAAAAAAAAAATTTTTTTTATTTCAATGTGCTAAATGAATTTGTTTTAAAAATTCTATAAGTTTTTAAATTAAATTTATAACTTGTGGCTTATTTTTTTATATGTTATTCATATAAATTGTGCTTATATTAAATTTGTTTATGTATTTTAATATTAATAAAATAATACATAAAAAAATAAAAGATTTTAAATAAATTAATTAGAAAACTATATAAGGTAAAATGAAAAAAAGCTAAAAATAACTAACAGTATGCCATGAAATTTTATTTCTATAATATTCAAAAACTTAATTTGAAAATTTTTTTTGGTTTAATAAAAAAAAAAAAAAAAAATACACATGTTAATAATATATAATTATAATGTTATATTAAAAATAATAATGGAATTATGAAAATTCATACTATAATATTTAAAACCACAAAAAAATACATACCTAATAAATAAAATGTTTTTTTCTTTAGAATTTTCCTTTTTTTTTTTTTTTTTTTTAATAATAAAAAAAAAAAAAAAAAAAA